TGGGTATTTTTGCCATATCGTACTCAATCCGATATGTCCATTCACACACAAACCTGTTGTATGATCCCATCGAGGGAGGTTATACAGTCGTCAGGGTTACCGGCTCCCTATTCCCCCGTTTATATTCTTGACAACGAAAACAACCTTTTTTCTTTTTTAAAGAGCAGAACTTGAGGAATCCGCTCTTGTTACCTTCAAAGAATGGTCTGGCAGACTAAAATTTGAGATTCAGGTTAAAATAAAACAAAACTTAGAGATTCAGGTTAAAATAAAACAAAACCTAACTCGAACACGTCGCTCTTCTACGCAAACCCACCAGTGGCTTTTTGTTTCTCGGAGTGACAGCCAGAGCCCTTGCCCTTGTTGGGAGGCCCTCGGGACCAGGTCCTCAGGAACAGCGGAAAGAAAGGCAGCACCGAGCTGCGTCATGTCCACGATCGGTTACAGATTGGACCATGGTCATCTTCAGAAGTAGAGCATAAGGCCTTTGCTCCTAGGATGTCTTGGTCTGGAGATCCTGAAATCTGTGATTCTCATAACAGCACACAAGTCTCTACTGGGAGCTAGGTGGTGGATGTGTACGAGACAGATTGGTTGGGAACCAAATCCAGGTCTTCCTTATGGAAGCAGAGAGTTCTACACGGACCTGTTCACAATGCCTACAACCTCCCACCTAATCTGGACTCCCTCTTCTTTTCTGCCTCGTCACCAATACTCTCTGTTTCACTCCTTTCTCTCCAGACCCTGTCCTTGTTGTTTCTCAAATAGGCCATTTCACTAGGGACATGGGAAGGGTGCAGATAGCATCCGTTGACATTGTCTGAGAGGTGACGTGAAAATGACTGTCTATAAAATTTTTGCGCAGTGTTTTAATAGAAGATTATTATTATTGAGATAGTTTATTGTGCCAGCCTGGCTGATAAACGCAGGTGGGATTGACTGAGGGGCGGAGAGATGGATGGCTTGGTGAGCCTTGCCTTTCTTGTCTCTCGCTCTGTGATCATCGGACCAGTGTGCGGCTGCCTTGCTTGTTCTGTGCTTCAATTTAAAGGCTACACAGCCTGTGGGACGCCTAGCCTGTGGGCTGTGTCGCTGTAAGTTGAGGTCCCTTTAAGACTTCTCTGGAGCTGGGGAACTGGCGATTGGTGACCTGCCTTGTGATTGGCTGCTGTGCTGACATAGCCTAGCTCTCTCTACAAATAGAGGAAGATCTGGCATCAGATAGAGACTTGAAGGACTGCTAGTCTCTCAACTTTCTCTCACGGACGTGAGTTGCACTAAGCCATTTATAGTGCTTTCTAATTTAACTGTTTATTTCTTGTATTGTATATTTATCTGTATATGATTTAACAGTTCATTTCTCATTATATATCTAATTATCTTTATATATAAAAATATTATATTATCAGGAATTTGGTTTTATCTCTCTAGAGAACCCTGTCTAACACAATTATTTTCAGAGTTAATTTTTTTATTGTGAACTAGGTGGGAGTTACCTTTTAGTTTCAGGGTTTATGCTCTTATCTATTAAGTATAAATTGATGTGCCCATTCTTAGTTTTAAAGGGAAATAAGTTCAATTTGGGTTTAAGCCTATATACATTAAACAGATATGTTAACGTGTATAGGAACGGCAAATTATGCATTCAAGCTAAATTCAGAAAAGGGTGTGGAATGAGGAATATCATTGTTGATGTCAGATGTATCTTGAAGAAAAGCAGAGAATACCAGGAAGATATTTACATGTGTTGTATTATCTTTGCAAAGACATTTCATTATATGGATCATAAAAAAATTATGGATAACAAGAATATGAATTCCAGAAGACTGAATTATGCTAATACAAACCTGTACATACACTGAGACTGTTATCAAACTTAACAAAGGGATATGGCATGGTTTAAAATCAAGAAAGGGTGCTCGCTTCGGCAGCACGTGTACTAAAATTGGAACGATACAGAGAAGATTAGCACGGCCCCTGTGCAAGGATGACACGAAGGGAAAAATAAATAAAATCAAGAAAGGTGTGCATTAGGGTTGTACCCCTTCACCATATTTATTCAGTCTGTGTGCTCAGCAAACAATCTGGGAAACTGGACTATATGAAGAATTAATGAGGCATCAGATTTGGAGGAAGGCTCATTAGCAACTTCTGATGTACTGATTATACGATTGTACAACCTTACTTATAGAACGTGAAGAGGACTTGAAACACTGATGAGTTGAACACTTACTGTGTTGAAGTTCTTATTTTTCTAGGATATCTAAGCAGAGAGATATTGCTGGGTCACCTGGTGTTTCTGGTCTCGGTTTTTTGAGGAAGAACTATCCCATTTTCCACAGTTGTTGCACCATTGTGTAGTCCTACCAGTCTCTCTACACCCTCACCAGCATTTGTTGTTTTTCGGTTATTTTTGTTATTTTTTGTTTGAATCTAGCTTGTGTGTCACAGAAGAATTGAAGTCAGTTTCGATTTGACTTTTCCTCCTTCTATAACCACTCAGACCAGCGTTTAGATCTGCTGGCAAAGGAAATTAGAGGGTTTTTTAAGGCTGTGACTCTTCTCTCTCTCTTTTCTTAAAAAAAATTGTATCTGTTTTCCCCTCTTTTATTTGTAAAGTAGAACACCTACACAGAAAAATATGTTATCCATAGTTACATGACCCATCCCATCAGAGCAGTGGCTGTATCCCAGTACACCCTCTGAGTGTGGCTCTCCTACATAATGTTGTTATTAATTCTGGGCGACATCCTATCTCATGGTTGTTTTGGTTTGCATCTCTTGAGTGACTAAAAATCATGAGTGTTTCTTTATATGTTTGTTGGCTGCCAGACATCTTCTTTCGTGAAGTGTCTGCCCATGTCCTCTGCCCATTTAAAAATTGGAGTATTTGTCATTAGAGCCCCTCTTGATCACGTCTCGGTCATGCTCTCACAGAAAATTCAGAAATAGTTGAAGTGTGGACTTGCCTCCCAACTGCCACAACCACCCCAAATCAATGTGCATGCAACTGATTCGCTGAATCTAAACCAATCCATCACCCTAGCTGCAAAGGTTTGGGGGAAAGTATGGTTAGTAACTTCTCAGTCTCTGCAGTCCAGGAAGGTGGCATGAGTGTTGAATACTAACTGGCCACACTCTTATTCTTAGGACAGGTTGAAAACTACTCAGCATGGTTGGCAAAGCTTTTCAAACCCTCTACCTAGGACTTCTCTCTCCATGCTCACCCCTTGCTCGACTTTACTCCCAGGGCTTCGCCCTCCATATTTAGCCCCCTCCCTTCCACCACAGAGCCTTTGCACATGCATTTTCTCTTCTTGGCAAAGCCTTGCCTCCCCCACCTTGTCCTCTTGACTTAATGTATGCCCAGTTCTCCTTTGACTGTTAGCTCCCATGACATTTCACTTTGGGCACCTCTGTTTTCCACTTCTTGGTCAGGTACCCCAGCTATAGGGTCCCAGCATTTCCAAACTCTCTGCAGGGAGAAGGATTTGAGATGAGTGGGAGGAACAATCTATGTCTTATTTTATGCCTTTCTAGTAAGTTCCTTTGCATGTTTACTATTTATATATAACATTGTTTGCAATGTAGATATAAAAAATGGGTATATTCCTAGAGTAGTTTTGTTTCAGGGCCAGTATAAGAGATTTTTTTAAACCTTCAAAAATTAAATCTCAAAACCTATTAATTTCTAGTAATTAATTTATTGGGATCATCTAGGAGCAGCATAGAACAGGTATGCTTCTATGTGTGTGTGTAGAAATTCTTCTTAGCACGTAAGAAACGCTGTTGACACACTGATATCGTCTAATTCCCCCGGGTAACTGGAGGGTCGTGTAAGCCCCCTAGTAGGACCTTACCCCATGGGTCTCCCGAAAGAGAACTGGTGGGGGGCACCTTATCCCACATGGGGTTACCAGTGGGAATCATGAGTGTTTATATCGATGAATGCTCAAGAAATCCAATCTCTACCACTTTAGCAGGAGTCAGGCTTTATTAGTCGACTGGCAAAATCAGTCCCCAAGCCCCAGAAGGCAAGGTGGGCTGGCAACTGCACACCAAGTACCTGTTTCACAAGCATTTTATTCCTTTGTAAGAGAGTCCCTCCCCGGGTCTGCGTACTAGGAGTTGAACAGTCTTCCAGGAGGTTTCCCGCTTCCTGATATGGTTACATCCTTATTTCAAAGTTGCTACTTCTTGATCAGATCCCCTCCCCTCCTCTAATTCACCCTGTTGCCACAAACCCCAGGTGCATGGGTTCCTGTGATTGTCACGTCAGCCAACGAACTTTGCTCTGGCCTTGTGGTAACTTCTCAGTCATTGTGCCCCTTGTTCCTGCAGATGGAACAGGTTGAGCTTTATTTCTCACTAGTGGAATAGAATATTTCAGAGCATAAGCTATTCCTAAAAGGAAGAATTTCAGTTAAGGACATTGTTGAGGAGTGCCAGACCCCACAAATGAAGCTCATGTCTCTACTAATAGAATAACAAAAATAACCTGCCATTTATGTGCTGATGGCATCTCTCTCTTTACTAGGTTTTCTGATTGCATTACAATAAACACATACTAAAAATAATAAAAGTGCAAATTAGAAATTAAGTTTAATAACACTTATTCCAGCACATTTCTTAATTGAACCTTTGAAAAGTGATCCACCGAGATGCCCGCAGATAAACGAGGAGTCAGGAAGACAGTAATAAAACTGTGTGTTACTTCTGTAGTACTCTTGCAAGGAGAAGCATGTGATTCCTTGTCTTTTGGGGCTACCAGTTGCATTAAATTACCATTCCTGGAAGCAGCAGGGAGCACCTAGGAACTTGTATACCACAGTTGCGTGGAAATGTGGGTGATTTCTTTCATGAGAAAGGAATGATTATCCTTAAAACATTCCTTTGGCCCTTTGGCACAAGGCAACAAAATGCAAGGATCCGGAGCACTGGTGCAAATACTTCAGCTTCAAAGAAGCAAGTTCAACACTTGGATCTGAGCATTAAACACGTCAACTCTGAAACCAGTTAACATTGAAGACTGTGTACATGAGAAGCGGGAGGAGCCGGGAGTGATGTCTCCCCTTCCTCTCCCTGCAGTGCTGTGAACCTTGCTGGCGCCTGGGCTCTGGAGCAAAACCAGAATTCAAATACTGGTGCTTCTGTGCATATTTTTTCTTCATCAAAGTTGTACCCCTATTAACCAGCCTCTCTTCTCTTCTGGCTCCTACATGTGAAACCTATAGTACCCTATTGTTGGTATGCGCACTCAGCTGCTAACCGAAAGGTTGGCAGTTTGAGCTCACTCTGTAAATTAGGTTGTTGTCATCGTCTTAGGAAATGTGGCCAAGTGAAGGGTGTTCTCGGCACAAGACAACTGGTTTTGCTGGTGGAAACTCCTGCTGAATCATCAGCCAACGTTCGGGAGCTACGTGGGAGTTGCCTCCGACAGCCCAACCAGGTGGGCACCGGGGGAGGAGAGTCAGATAGTCCTCTCTCGCCTGTCAGCAGAGCAGCCTGTCATTATTCAGAAATAAGTAGAAAGTTCCAGCAAACAGAATAAGTCCTTTAAAGGATTTGCAGCTGCTTGCTGCTTTGTTCAGATGCCTGCCCAAGCCAGGGGCTTAGGAATGGGACACAGCCGCCTAAAGGAACAGTGTCTGTGAGTGTAGAAGAAAGTGTACTGCCACCAGCAGTCCTGAAAATGTGTTTCTTTTGTGTCCCTTGAGAAGAACCCGTGGCAAAGGTGTCACCTGTACTTTATAATAGAAGACAGTCTCATGCGCAACATCTCAACGCCTGCAGGGTGTGACAGCTAATGAGAGAGATCTTCACAATTCCAGCCCATGACTTCATTTTGCCTTGGGGTGGTTCTGAACAGGCTGAGCACACCCTCAGTCCTGTGCTGATTAACTTGGGACTTGTGAAAACAGAGCCCTGAACTCCCTCTGGCTATGCAAAAGCTGCAGACTGTAAGCACTCAAGTAGGACTCACCAGCCCATCTTTACAACAGTGAGGCGCTGTTGAGGGCCTACTGTGTACCAGATGAGTCCTGGTGTTGTAATGGCCTAGCCCTTGGAGGCTAACTACCAGCTGCTCTGCGGAGGAAAAGTCCTGGTGATCTGATCCTGTGACGACTATAGCCTAAGGGGCCACTCTGCTCTGTCCTGTGGGGTCACATGATGAGTCAGAGCCATCAGTACCTGCCGCCCACAACCATAGGCCAGGCCCTCTGCTTGCACACTTATTTTCTTGTGGAAGTTCCTGGACATCTCTAGGAGGTAGATAATATGCTTCTCCCCTGCTTTTTTACAAACTGTGGCTCGGGTAGGTTAAAGGACTTGCCTAAGATCACACGGTGAAGGGAGAGTTCAGATTAGAAGATTTTTAAAAAAAAGAAGATAGCTGTTTGTGGTAGTTACATAATCTCATGTCATTTGAGGCTATTAAGAGTGAAGGGGTGGAGTCTAGCCTGTCAATCAGGTCACAGCCTGATGATGTCTCCTTGTGGGCGTGGCCTTCTCATGAGGATTCTGGGAACATCCTCTCTCTTTCTCTGGAGAGGTTGGATACGCTCTCTCTCTACTTCACTTTACAGGGAGGAGACAATCGGAGAGCTGAAGGAACCATGTGGAGACGCCCCACCGGCACTGAGATTCTTCCACTGCAACTGGATTCACAAGACTTTTTACCCACCGGCCTGTGATCTTCCTACATTTGGTATCATTCGAGTGGCTATGTGAGTCTGAAGAGGAACTTATGGGCTAGGATTGGACTTAGGGGCTAATATTGGACTCATGGACTTGATCTGGATGGAATGTTTTCTCAATATACAATTGCTCTTTGATATAAAGTTCTCTCTTACACATATATGAAAGTCCCTGGATTTGTTTCTCGAGTCAACCCGGTCTAACGCACTTTTTCACCCCATAGTGCAGGCTTTTGGCCATTAACAGACGTCCGAGGAAGCAGAGTTGCTTACTGTCTTCTGGAGCTCCACGAAGGAGTCCACGCCTGTAGCCCTTCAGGACTGCATGTTGTACAACAGGAGACACTGTTCATGTCAGTGTGAGCCTCACAGTGGCTGTTACGTTGGGATCCATTGTTGCAGCCACCGTGTCAGTCCCTCTTGTTGAGGGTCTTCCTCCTTTGGGCTGAGCCTCTTCCATCCGTCCAGCCTGACGGGCCATCGTCTAGTATTCGGTCACAAAACGTCCCGCTGCTGCCCATCAGGGTCTCAGGGACTGGTTCCTCAGCGGGAACAGCCTTCTCCTTAGCGTGTTCTTCGTCTGGAAGCTCTGCTGAAGCCTGGTCCCCTCAGGTAACCCTGCTGGTATTTGACACACCAGTGGCATTGTGTTCAGCGTCACAGCAGCATGCAAGCCACCACGATACGACAAACTGACGGATGCATAGCTACTTCATATGTAGTACAAGCTGACAGAGTTCTTGGCTACTTAGTATGTAGTACAAACAAACAAACAAACAAACAAACAAAAGACAAACAGTTGTCATGGAGTCAATTTCAGGTGATGGTGTTTTATGTGCAAAAA